CCCCAAAACCCCAAAACCCCAAAACCCCAAGGGTATATTGTAAGTCAAAATTTATTTGGGGAACTAGATATTTAAATGGGATACCGTTCATTCAATCAGTCAATATTGATATTTTAATATCACATTCAAATTAAAAGTACTTGAATAATGTCATCTAAAAATTACCTCTTTTATCCCTTAATTCTCACCACGACAACCTGGACTATAAATCACGGTCTAAATTTAAGTTCTTACAATAAGTATCTAAAAACACTCTACCCTGAGTGCATGGAGAGTAATGAAAACCGAAACGTTATCGTGATGATGTCCTTCCTTATTCTACTCATTATATAACACCCAGTTGAGGAAGCCGCAAGACAAGCATTTTTTAACTATTTGCTTCCAGCAAAGAAATTTCCCAAGAACTCGATCGAGAGAGCAGAGAAAGCTCAAATGCTTTCAGAGAGAGTTCACAAACTTATTGTATATACTACTACAACATGCTTACTTTACGGCATCCTTTGGAATAGCCCATACTTATCCAAGTATCTACTTGGAAGTAGTGAGGATCCTTAACTGTTCATGAACTATCCATGCTAGCCGCTTCCAAAGTATTTAGACGACTTTTATCTCTTGAAACTTGCCTATCATGCTTATGAGTTATTTTACTCTATGATCTATCATAGGGGAAGACTAGACTTCCCTGAGTATGTGTTCCATCATATTGTAACGTTAGCACTCATAGTGAAATCTTATTCAATCAACTACCTCCCAATAGGAGCAATAATTATGCTCCTTCATGATTTATCTGATATATTCCTTTCAATATTTAAGTTGTGCTGTGATGTTTTGCCAATGAAGATTCAAATGACATCGTATTTTATCATGCTAACTAGCTGGATTTACCTTAGAATGTGGTTTTTCCCAGTCAATGTTATCTACGCTTATATTTTACAAGTTCAAGATTCAAAAGACTATGTGTAAGTTTACAAAAATTTAATTATTCTGCTAAAACTACTAATTCTTTAAGAATAAGTCCCAGCTAAATTAATCATTTTAATAGGATTCTTGAGAATTACTGGATTCTTTTGTATTTTGTGATTTGCCTATACGTCTTGCATATATTTTGGTTCTATTTAATGATCAGAGGATTGATAAAGAGAATCAGAGACTTTGATAGCGTAATTTTTAAGAATAGTGAAAATAAGTGACAATAGTGACTTGCATATCAATGTTACTGTGTTGCATAGACTATCTTTTAACATATATTAACACTTCTATATCAAAATATCTAACTAAATTTCTATTTTAATTGCTAGTCACTCATTTTATATAATGACGTATTTATTTCATAATCGATCACTCAATCTTAATGTGCCATAAAATTTACGCCAAGGGGTTTTGGGGTTTTGGGGTTTTGGGG